GAGACAGAGTCTCGTCACTTAGTCACCCTCCGTAGAGTGCTGTGGCATCATAGCTCACTGGGACTATAGACACCCATCATAATGTTCAGCTATTTTTAGAGATGGGGCCTCACTCTGCTCAGGTGGGTCTAGAACTCCTGAGTTGAATCAATCCACCTGCCTCAGCCTCCCAGAGTGCTAGGATTACAGGTGTGAGCCATTGTGCCTGGCCTTCATAGATCTCTTTGAATGTACTATTTCTTTTATTGATCTTAGATTTTCAGAGGCAAGTTACATGTATAGTCAAGCAGATACTATATACTGTTAGTATAAAAGTGAAATTTCTGTGATGGGACAGGCTTTTTTTTTTTTGAGACAGAGTCTTACTATGTTGCTCTTGGTAGAGTACCATGGCGTCACAGCTTAAGTGATTCTCTTGCCTCAGCCTCCCAAGTACCTGGGACTACAGGTGCCTGCCACAACACCTGGCTATTTTTTGGTTGCAGTTGTCATTGTTGTTTAGCAGGTCTGGGGCTGAGTTCAAACCTGCCAGTATCGGTGTACATGGCTGGTGCCTGTAACTAGTGTGCTAAGGGTGCCGAGCCTAGGGACAGGCTCTTTGTGATGCTACTCTTTCTGTAGTTGATACTGAGGTTTTGTAACAGACCAGACAATGGATTAGACATAATGATTGGCTTGGGTTAGACTTTTCAATATACAATACTGATGCCAAGCTTATCCTGTAATCTGTGGATTGTTGAGGGTTCCTCCAAAGTACTCTTTTTCTATCTATGCAAATCCTCTAATTTTGAAAACTTCCTCATTGATCAGTAGTTGATGAGACCTCAAGGAACATAGCATGAGCAAGAGGAAACCTAGTGAACCCTGTGATTGCTGTGAGATCAGAGTATTTGAGTTGTTCCCTTGTCTAATGAAGACACATGAAGAGCATTCATATCACTCCTGGCTATCTCATATAGGCCATTATGTCTTTTTTTTTTTTTTTTGAATATTTTATTATTTTTTTTTTGTAAAGATCTTATCTTACTATGTTAGCAAGCCTGGTCTTAAACTCCTGGCCTCAAGTGATCCTCCTACCTCTGTTTCCCAAAGTCCTGGGATTACAGGTATAAGCCAACAGGCCAGGCCATTATATTTCAGGTATAAGCCAACAGGCCCAGGCCATTATATTTCCAAGTATCCAGAGCAGTGAGGATAATACCTATTTACAGATAGTATTTTAAACTTTTTGATAAGGTTTTGGTGAATATTCTTGTGTTGACTTCAATAGATACAAGAGGAATTGCTTTCATTAGGAAATTGCATTATAGATGACAGTTATCTCTGTAAGGTAGTTTAAAACAGGTTGATGATGGACAATAATTGAAATTGACTACAGAAAGATTTGTTTTATTGAACTCTTAACAGTTTAGGGGAGAGGTCAACAAACTATGGTCCATGGAATAAATCTGTCTGCCACCTAATTTTATAAGGTCGACTAGCTGAGAATAATTTTTAATATTTTTATTTTTATTTTATTTTATTTTTTGAGACAGAGCCTTAAGCTGTCCCCCTGGGTAGAGTGCCATGGCATCACAGCTCACAGCAACCTCCAACTCCTGGGCTCAAGTGAGTCTCCTG